GGCATTTAAGATGTTTTAATAACATAGGCTCTTTTTTATTTTTATTTTTATTTTTTAATGACAATGAGACATGTCTGCTCCCGGCAGCACCAATCTATTTCAGAGAAGATGATGGGCATTTAAGAAACTCCACACGGAGTTTACTTTCTTTGTGGCAAAAGTAGCCACTGCGCAAGAAAGTGCCCTTGCCTCGACTGCTGACAGTGTGCTGTCCAAGACAAGGTGGGAAAGTCCTTCAGAAAATCCTGCTTCACAGAAAAGTCTGTCAGAGATGCTAGGCCTATAAGGCTGAAGATGGATGCCCCAATGTTGCAGAGGAACCTTGGGTGACTGCCCAGGCAGCCAGGTGTTTCCATCATTTCTCACATGTTTTGGAAGTCACTGGCTCGAACTTCCTGTTTACTCAGTTAATATTATTTCCTTCTGGGGTCTCTGAGGGAGCTGAAGACTAGATATTTATAGTTTTCATTGTTTACCAGACTCAGAAAGGAAACTCACTAAAGAGGTGTAAAGTGAATAGGGTTGAGAGATATCAAAAGATAGTTTGGGATGGTAATGTAAATTGTAATAGAAAGTAAATTAGGTATAAGACCTTGAGTTTACCAAGATAGGATAGATAATGGAGTATTTTCGGTGAATTTGTCAAATACAAATGGACTAGACATTGTTGATGTATTTATTGCCTGTATATATTGTATATAGTTATTGTACTTGTTATAGTTTTTCTTATATTAGTTATAACCTTTTTTATATTAGACAAAAAAGGGAAATGTGATGATTTTTTTTTATTTTTTATGATGTAACAAAGCTTGCCTGAAGATCAGAGTGCAAAGCCAGCCACAGCCATAGAGGCCAGGCAGTGGTGGTACACACCTTTAATCCCAGCAGCCACACTCGTTAGCCATAGAGGCCAGGCAGTGGTGGTACACACCTTTAATCCCCGCACTCAGGAGGCAGATGTAGAAGGATCTCTGAGTTCAAGGCCATGGGAGTGAATTGTCTAAAAGAGAAACAGAGCTCACACCTTTGGTCCCAGCACTTGGGATCACATGCCTTGAATCCCAGCACTAGGGAGGTGGAGACAGGAGTGCTATGGCTGGGTGGAGAGAGGAATGTAAGATTGGAGGAAATAGCAGCTCATTGCAGACTGAGTGTGTCTGAGGAGCAGCTCAGCGGGGAGCAGTCTGAGGTTTGGTGGCTCGCCCCTCCCGGTCTGAGCATTGGTAGAGGTGAGAACTCTCTAGCGGTTGGCTGCTTTGCTTTTCTGATCTTCAGCTTTAACCCCAATGTCTGACTCTGGTTTTTTATTTTATTTGTGCTACATCGGTGCTTAGTACTGGGTAATGTGCATGGTGGGCAGGACAGAATCTGGAATACAAACCTCTGGGCACGCCTCACAGAAGTTTTCAGATTAGGTGACAGAGGAGGGCATGTGGACAGCACATTTTCAGGGCCACCCTCTCGGACTAGAGAAAGCCAGAGGACTAACATTCATGACTCTCTGCGTCCTGACTGTAAGGGTCATGTGGCCCAGCCACCTTATGCTTCTGCTGCCACAACTTTCCCATCCTCATGGTCCGTACCCTCAAACCGAGGGCCTAAACAAACCCTTGTTCTCAAGCTGCTTTTGTCATGGCAGTGACAAAGTAACCTATACGAGGAAGCAACTGATACAGCATCTGATACAGCCTCCTTCCCCATAGCTGGCTCCCTCATCTGAAGAGGTCCGGAGGAGACAAGAGTAACATTTTATTTGTTTTGTTTTGTTTTTTTGGTTTTTACGAGACAGGGTTTCTCTGTATTGTTTCGGAGGCTGTCGGTCCAGCCCGGCCTCGAACTCACAGAGATCCGCCTGCCTCTGCCTCCTGAGTGCTGGGATTAAAGGCGTGCGCCACCAACGCCCGGCAAGAGTAACATTTTAAATGGGACTGGGAGTGTGTGTGAGTGTACAGCCCTTCCTTCCTTTTCTTCTGAGGGTGGTGACAAATTTCTCGTTCTGCAACTCAGGGTGGCCTGGGACTCCTGAGCCTCCTACCTCAGCCTCCCAAGTGCTGGGACTGCAGACGTGTGCCAACGTGCTTGTGCCTATGCATGTCAAGTGTGCACACATGCACGTGTGCTTGAGTATATGTATGGGGCAGAGGTCGATGTAAACTATCTTTGAGTGCTCTCTACCTTCTTTTTTTTTTTTTTTTTTTGTTTTTTGTTTTTTGTTTTGAGACAGGGTTTCTCTGTATTGTTTTGGAGCCCATTCTGGAACTCGCTCTGCAGACCAGGCTGGCCTCAAACTCCCAAGGGATCTGCTCGCCTCTGCCTCCCGTTCGTCACCAACACCCAGCTTTCTACCTTTTTTTTTTTTTGAGACAAGGTCTCTTTCTGCACCTGGATCAGCTAGACTGGCTGTCCCACTGCTTCTGGAGTCTTCCTAACCACCTCTCCCCCAGGTTAGGTACATGTTGCCATGCTGGGATTTGACATGGGTGCTGGGGATCCCCACTTGTTTCCTTATGCTTGTCTGGCAGTCTGCTTATTAGCTGAGCCATCGCCTCAGCCCCTAGCACGTGCTTTAAAAAGAAGAAACCGGAAACCCAAAGGCTGTCCTTGACGCTTTGTTAAGCAGGGAAACGTGTAGATTCGTTGTAGCACTGTTGAAGGAGAATGACTTTTTAATCCTGCACTTTGTATGTTTCTCATAAATCAGACTGCTCGGTAAGCCCCCTGTATTTCTCAAGTTATATTCATGACATTCAGTGACAGGGGACAGCTTGCAAACCCTCATTAACTCTCTCCAACTGACCACTGACTCTGGACTCTTTCCCGGAAGTTCTTTTTTTAATACATGTAATCCTCGGTGATCAAAGTCTCATATAGTATACTCTGCTTGATTTATTGCCTCTATAGGTGTTTAGGGGTGGTGACTGCCACTTTTGATGAAGTAAGTGATTCTCGGTCTCAATGGCATAGAAGACTGTTTATTGGTGTTCTCAACATCCAGCCTTCATTCAAGATAAGAAACATAAAATATGTATTAGCTGGGCAGTGGTGCTGGCCTTTAACCCTAGCACTCAGGAGGGAGAGGCAGGCAGATCTCTGTGAGTTTGAGGCCAGTCTGGTCTTCAGAGCAAGTTCCAGGACAGCCAGGGCTACACAGTGAAAGAAGCCCTGCCTGGAAAAACCAAATAAATAAATAAAAATTAAATAAATCAAGTATAAAACCACAAAATATTATTTTGTCAGTGTATTGTGTAAATTGTTTGGTAGCACTGGGGATGAAACCCAGGGCCTTCTGCAGGCCTGGTCAGTGCTCTGCCCCCGAGACACACGCCAGCCCTCAGCCATGAAGGCACAAAGAAGTCAGAGGCTGATCACTCTCAGGACATTTCTAGTGCGGTGAGTGAGCCTGGGGTGTCATGGACGTGGCTCTGTGGGTGACATGCTTGTTGTGTCGGCAATGAGGAACTGAGTTCCAGACTCAGGACCCATGCGTAAAAGCTGGGTGTGCTGGCAGGCATTGCTGGGGCTTGGGCATGCACTCTCTGGGCAGTTAGCTGTCTGATGCTAAGCTTCAGGCTCTGCGAGAGACCCTGCTTCAAAACAAAGAAACAAACAAAGCTCCCTCAAACTTCCCACACAACAGCAGCAGAGTTGCAAGGTGGGAAAGCAACTGAGGCGGTCATCCGGATGCCAAACTCTGGCCTCTACTGTTGTATACACAGGTCAGTGCATCTGCACACATCAGTGTCAAACACACACACACACACATGCACACACACGCGCGCACACACGCGCACACACACACACACACATGGTACAGAAATTACAAAAGACAGGCATATCCATGTAACACACACACACATACATATACACAGAGTAGAGAAATTACAAAAGACAGATACATTCATGTAGCGCACGCACACACACGCACACACACACACGCGCGCACACACACACGGTGCAGAAATTACAAAAAAGAAGACGCATCCATGTAGCACACACACACACACACACACATACACATACACAGGGTAGAGAAATTACAAAAGACAGACACATCCACGTAACACACACACAAGCACACTCTCTCTCTCTCTCTCTCTCTCTCTCTCACACACACACACACACATGGTGCAGAAATAACAAGAGACAAGGTGGAAAGTGTTGAGAGATGCCTCAGGATGACAGGCAACTGGACTCCTGTCCTGGGCCTCTTGGCCCTACTCCGGGTCAAGGCTGTCACTGGGAGCCAGAACTTGGGAACCCAGCCTGATTCGTCATCTGTTTGTCAGCGTAAATATTCACACACTCATTTGTTCGAGTTGCCCTGACTTTGGGGTAAGGGAAGACTTCGGGCTTTAAGCCATCAACTGTTGAGCACCTGCCGGATGTTAGGGAGGACCATTACGGAAAGCAACGTGCAAGTCCCTGGATAACGGATGCCTCCTTTCCTGGGCCATCACCTCAAGACTTTAGGACTCAGGGTCCATCTTTAGGAGGTTCCCAACACTAATGTCATGAACATAGACAGGATGACTCCTATCACGTATGGGGCACCTCTAACTTACTAAATTCTTGTTTTCTGTGCACAGCGCCAGACCTGTGGGCTTAGGTGGGAGCACGGAGAGGGAGAGACAGCCGGAGAGTACACGGACAGCTTCCTGCCGGGAGTCCAGGAGAGGTGGGGCTTGTCCCACACTGAGACTCTGCACTGGCATTTCCTGTCTGTTCTTTGCTACCTCGCAGGCTTTCTAAGCACCTTTCAGTCCAACTATCTTTTGTTTGTTTGTTTGAGACAGGGTTTCTCTGTATTGTTTTGGAGGCTGTCCTGGGACTCGCTCTGTAGACCAGGCTGGCCTCGAACTCACAGAGATCCGCCTGCCTATCTTTGAATCGTAAGGCAAAATGTCACCACTAAACCCTGCATTTTGGTCAGCTGTGGTTTGACTTACGCCCTTGCCCATCCTCTCTCTGCTTTTCCACATCCCTTGCTCTATGCGGATTGCTTGCGCAGCATTTTTTTATTTTTAATTTTTTAATTGAGGGAATAGTGTCCCAACCACCAGGGTGTTCTCCTCTTCCGTGTCTTCCACAGGTTAGGAACAAACACTTCTAAAACGGTGCTGTAAGAGGTCGACCCACGACCTCCGTCTCCCGGGAGGGCCACAAGGGCTGTCTTCAGCTCCTGGAGGTGGAATCTACAGTTACCCTCACTTGGAATTACAAAGCTCAGCCCTGCTGAACTCTCACTGCCAATGGAGACCCACTGAGGGTCACCATGTTGGTCACCGCGGCAGCTGTGGCCGCTGGGTCCTTCTACCCAGCCTTAAAGTTGAGAAAAATCCGACCCAGTAACACGCTCCACCCGAGCTCTCGCTCCCTCCCTCCCTGCCTCCCTTTAGCATCCCCTTCTCATCTCTGCGACAACTTCCCCACCCAAACACGCATCGTCCCCGACCCCCCCAGATTTCCACCGTCTTCAGGTCGCGGCATCGCGCGGACGCCACCGTGGCCTCTGTGTCCCGTCCTCCCCCCTCCCCCGCCCCCAGCGCTTGCAGGCTCGCGCTCTCCGCGGGACAGTCGCCGGACCCGGACTGTCACCTCGACCGTCTCTGCGCGGCCCAGGTCCCGCCCCGTGCACAGTGGCGGCTCCGCGCGCTCCTGCCAGTCGGCGTCCCGCTTCCACCCGAGCGCTCGCTCGGGCTGACACTTCTCCTCTAACCCGCGGCAAGCCCCCTTACCTGTCCCAAACGGGGACTGTCGCTGCGCGCTCTGGGTCTTCCCCTCTACGCTGGCTGCGCCGCCCCCCGCTTCCCAGCCCGGCTGGGTCCCTCTTGAGCCCTCTGGATCGTGTTCCCCTCCCCGCTTCCCCAGTCCCTCCAGACTGATGCTGCGCACCCCGGGGCCGCCCCTCCAAGATCGCCGGAGCCCAGAGCCTTCGTCCCCGGCGGGGTCCCGGCCGCTCCTGCAGCGCCGCCCAGCGTGGTTCCTGAGCCTCTGTCCCGGCCGCTGCGGTGTGGCCCGGCCCCGCCCCCCGGGAGCTGGCCCCGCCCCGGCCCGGCCCCGCCCCCGGCCGCCCAGGCTTGATTGGCCGCGCGCCCCCCTCCGGGGCTCCTCCCCGCCCCCTCGGTCCGTGGGCACCGCCACCTGGTCCGCAGAGTCCCCCGAGGGGACCTGGAGGCTCCGCTCGGGCCGGGCGCGCACCGCGGGGACTCGGAGCGAGCGCGGGCCAGGGAGGAGGAGCGAAGGTGTAGGACAGAACTTCGCCAGGAACAGGAAACCTACGGCGGCGGGGCAGGGGCGGCGACGGCGGCGCGGGGGCCATCGCGGTGTCCCCAGGAGTGGCCTCGCTGCCGCGCGCCGTGGCTGAGCCGTTCGGACTCCTCGGACCCCCAGGGGTCCAGATCTCACCCTTGCGCGCCGCGGAGACAGCGGGGACGACCCCAGGAGCTTGAAGCAGCATGTCTGACAAAATGTCCAGCTTCCTCTACATTGGGGACATCGTGTCCCTGTACGCGGAGGGCTCAGTCAACGGCTTCATCAGCACCCTGGGGTAAGTAGGAGGCGCCCTGGGCAGCGCCAGCCGGTCCAGGTCTCTGTCCCTCCCGCGCGCGTGGCGCGCCGTCCCGGGTCTGCGCCTGGGACAGCCCCGGGTCCCCTAGATCCCCGCGCTCAGGAAGCGGCGAGCGAGCGCTTCTCAGCAGCTTCGTAATCTCCAGCCCGAGACACATCCGAGAAGAGGAAGTGGTTCGCACGCCCCAGACAGGCCCCGCGAGGCTGCCTTCCCTGGCGTCTCCTGCCTTGTTTTGATTAAAATGTGTGTTCTCTCCTCGTCTTCCCCGCGGCCCTTCTCAGCGCCCGGCTGCAAAGAGGGCTGGGTTGGAGTCCCTGGCGTCGGCCACGAAAGCAGGCGATGTTGCACAGTGCTAATGTGGCGTTGTCCCGCTGGAGGAGATCACCAGCCCCTCTTCGCTGAAGTAATTTCCTTTTGCCCTTGCCAAGGGAAGACTCACCCCTTTGGCTTTGCCAAAACCGGCCTCGTGGGCAGCCGGGGTTCTAGAACTCGGATCTTCTTTTTCCCTTTCCATCCCCCTCGGCCCAGGGAAGCGAACTGCAAGGCTCTAGAGATTCCAGTTGGTGTGTGCACTGGGGAAACACATATGTGTATCCTACAGAAAGCCGGCGTGCTGGTTAAGTGGGGCCTATTCTGATTTCTAGAAATTCCCTACGTAGCGGGCATGCTGATGCACAGTTAATTGCGCCTTGCGATATATTTTAGTGCGCAGGTGGGTTTTGGTTACTTCACAGACTCTGGCTCTTTAGACTCGATTCTGGGAGACTTGTGGCTGGTGACTGTTTGCTGTTAAGTCCTGTCTCCTGGGCTGTGACAGTGTTACCTGCCCATTGCCTTCCCTGGAAGTCACCAGTGGCGTCCTGTTCTTTGTGCATGTCCCCGCAGACTTGGGGGAGGAAGGCCGATTTGATTGCCTATCTCGTGTCCGTCAGCGTTACTCCTGAGATTAAAGTGTGGAAGAATTCAGTGCAAGTGTCGAGCTGTTCCTGAGACAATTCATGCTCCCAGTCCAGTTTGGGTTCAGGACAGCGCTTTGCCGAGCTTGCACTTGAGCCTTGACGGACATGGAGGGTGTCTGCCATTTATAGTAGCTAAAAGGAGGAGGGGGAAGTCTAGAAACAGAAGGGTTTGGCTGGAATTCCCACCCTTTGATTCGCAAACCTTACATCCCTGGGCAGGCTATGAAACCTAGCTAAGCTTCCAACTCCTCAGTCTGAAAATGGGACTCAGTGGTTTCTACACAGGGGTGTGGGGTCAAGTGCTTAGCAAAGCTGTAATGACTGCGCTCACCGGTTAATTAGCTGATGCAGTAATTATCACCGCACAGACCAGAGAAGAGGTCAAGGACTAGGATAGGATGGACTTGGTTTCTGCAGGGCCACTCAGCAAGGTCAAATGTGGGTAACGTACAAAGCAAATACTGCAAGGGCCGAGGCGGTCAGCTCCCACGGCCCTGGAGCTGTCTCTAGGCATTGCTGAGACGAGACGAGACCAACCCAAGAGAAGCCTTTGTGTGTCCAAAGCCAGAGGCCTACTCCTGCCTTCGGCTCCTCGCCAAGCATGTGCTACTCTGCTTTCCTGTGACTTCAGACAGAAAAACCAGCAGGAGTGCTGGGACTGTGGTGTGCTCAGTGGTGTCACAGGCACCTGCTGTGCTTAGGTTTTCCTGCTGTCGATTTGAATGTGTCCTCCATTGGCGAAATAATAGTGTGGAGGTGACTGGCAAGGCAGAGTCCAAGTTGAAGAGTCTTGCACAGGCTGCCCTGGGCGGAGCTCGCTGATTTGATTGCATGCCTGTCTCTAGACTTCTCGGAGGCATCAATGTGACTGCTCCCACTCCGCGCTCTGGTATCAGCAGGTTTTCAAAGGGCGGTTACAGAAGTCATTGCTGATGTCCCTAGATAGAATTTCCTGGCCCTTGGTGAATGATGATCCGAGGGCCCTCCAGAGCAGCCCAGCCATGTGGACTTCAGTGGGCTCTGCATGCGTCTAAATCTTAAGGAGTAAGACAGAATTAAAGGTCCTGAGGCATCTTACTTGACAAGTACGGGCATCTTTATAGCGTGACAGTTCATTCTGTTTAGAAAAGCATGCCGCTTCTTTCACACTTGGGAAATATCTGATAGTGTTCAGCCTGAAATGATTAATTATCGTATCAATACAAACAAGACTGTGTGTGAGATACTCAAGCAGTGTAAAAGCTTCAAAGATGCTTCCAGAAAATGCCTGGCACATCTGACGGGGCTTAAGTTATATGGGAAATCATTCTCATTGATTTTTATTAATATGCAGTTTCAAAACTAGGGTTCTGTCTTACAAATTTTTTTCAAAATTCAGGAGTGAAAAGTTTCAACTGTTGAGAAATAATTACATTTAGTTTTGTAGTGGCTTAATTAAGGTCCTGGAATATATGGCCAGTGTCCCCTTGTTATAGCAAAATACCTAAGATTATCAGTTTACAAGGAGGCAGCATTTTTGTCCTCACAGTTTGGGCTTCTGTTCTACAGTCTATGGATTCTGTTGCTTTGGAACTACAATAGCGTAGGTGGCAGATGTCTGTGAGCAAGGGAACAGGGTTGGGGCATGCCACCAGTGACTCATCCCCTGCCCTGGGTGTATGTGGTGTGGTGTGTGTGTGTGTGTGGTATGTGTGTGTGTGTCTGTGGCCTATGTATGGTGTGTGTATGTGTATGTGTATGTATGTATGTGTGTGCATGTATGTGTGTGGTGTGTGTGCATGTGTCTATGGTTTATGTGTGTGGTGTGTGTATGTGTATGTATGTGTGTGGTATGTGAGTGTGTGTGTGGTGTGTATGTGTGTGGTGTCTCTGTGTATATGTGTCTGTGGTCTATGTGTGGTGTGTGTAGGTGTGTATGTGTGTGTGTGTGTGTGTGTGTGTGTGCTGCACATGTGGAGGTCAGTGCCTTTGCTGGAGATTTTGTCAGCTTAGGACAAACCACAGTCACTTAGCAAGAGGCAACGTAGTTGAGGCGTTGTCTCTGTCAGATTGGTCTGGAGGGCATTTTCTTGATTAGTGATCTATGTGGGAAAGTCCAGCCCCTGTGTGTGTGTGTGTGTGTGTGTGTGTGTGTGTGTGTGTGTGTGTGTGTAGAGTGGACCTGAGGCAGGTGGTCCAGGGGAGCCTAAGACAGCAGGTCGAGCCAGCCAGGGAGCGCCAGCCAGCAAACAGCTTCTCTGTGACTTCTGCTTCAGTTCCTGCCTCCAAGCTTCTGCTTGAACTCTTGTCTTGACTTCCCTCGAGGATGGACCATAACCTGTGAGCCACATAAACCCAAGTAGCTTCATGGTTAGTGTTTCATCACAATATCAGAAAAGCAAGCAAAGACAGAAGCTTTCCACTTTGGCCCCCTGCCCAGTAGTGACAGTTGCTAAGGACTACACCTGTAGCACATGGGCCTTCAGGGGACAAACTGGGACAATTATTATTTTGTAGGTTCTATTTTTTTTTTGGTGGGGGTGGTTTTGAGACAGGGTTTCTCTGTGGCTTTGGAGGCTGTCCTGGAACTCGCTCTGTAGACCAGGCTGGCCTCGAACTCACAGAGATCTTCCTGCCTCTGCCTCCCCAGTGCTGGGATTAAAGGTGTGCGCCACCACTGCCCAGATTTGTAAGTTCTTTTTATTATTTGCTTGTGGCTGTGCATGGTTAACTTTTTAGGAGTCTTTTAAAATCAGCTTATAAAGAATTAGGCTTCATTATGCTGTCTTCCAAACATTTTTGTTTGTTTCTCTTCCCCCATTCCTCCCCTTGCCCTCCCTCGTGCCCTGTCCATCCCCTTTCATTCCACACACGATCTTTTCACGCGTGATTTCAACGTGCAGGGCTTTATTTAGCCCCAGCTGAATACAATATTTTTTAACGTCTTCTACCTTATTATCTTATGTGAATGGGTACTTTGCACGTATGTGTGGGTGTCACATGTGTGCAGTGCCTGTGGAGGTCAGAAGAGGCCACTGGATTCCCTAGAATGGGAGTCACAGACGGCTGTGCGCTGCTGTGTAGGTGCTGGGAATCAAACCCCAGTCTCCTGCAAGAGCAGGCCCGGTCCCTGGAGCCTCCCAAGTGACATCTTAGCCAGGTGATTGTTGGAGAGTCCCTTCCGTGTCACGGTGTAATTGCTAGAGATTTTAGGGCTGTGGAGCCAGAGAACAGCCGTCTCCCTCTCTCCGTGTGTGCTGCTGGTCTTCACTCACGGGTCTTTGTGTGCACGCGGAGCAGAGACTTCTCCATGAGCTCCCCTGCTCTTCCGCTCCTGGCGTCTGTTGCGTTAGGCCTGCCACTAACTGGCATGTTCATACCGTGTGTCTCTTTGCAAGTCAGCCGCCTCGTTCTTGCCTTGGAGAGGGGGGAGAGCGGGCCCTGCCCCCCCTCCCCTGGAAGGTATGATACAGTCGAGCTCAGGAGACAAATGAAGACTGTGAAATGAAGATGGAGAGGGAATAGCTGTATTTCCATACGTAGAACTGCAGATTTTCTCCAAAGGTCAAGGAACTACTGGGGTGAACTAGGCTAGAGCTCAAGCTCGGTAATGGAGACGGTTATGTGTGTCCAGCCACACTCACGTGTCCCTTTGTAGTACTACGCATTCCAGGGAGTAGCTAGAATCGAGCCACGCAAGTCTCTGCTTCCCATTTTTACCTCTTGTCTCTCGGGTACTTCCGGAAGCATGGTGGCGTTGGCCGACTGGAATCAGGTGGGCTGTGGCAGAGCTGGCTTTACACAGCACAGATGTTGGTTTACAAATAAAATTTTGCCTACTCTTAACATTTTTATGGCATGAGTAAGTTTTAAAGGCTGTTATCTGGAGTGTCTGCAGTGGGGTAAACACTGTGGTTTTGTTTGTTTGTTTTTGTTTTTTGAGTTTAACTCACTCCTCATGGCAGCACTATCCACAATGAGTCTGGTAAGCTTTTCAGGGAGATTAAAAGTAGAGTTCTCTCTGGAAGTGCATGTGTGCTG